AACCGGGGTGGGGCGCCAGGCAGATCTTTGCACCCTGGCACCGCATATGCTTAAGATAGCCCTGATAAAATGTCATAGTACAGCTTTCCCATTATGACATATAAGCAAACCTGAATGGATATGAAGGGTACTTTATTCTTTTCTTACTCAACAGTTGTATTTGAAATCATGCTTAATGGAACTGAAGTGCAAGAACAGGGCAGTTGCTTTTTCTGAATGTAAAAGAACAGGTTTTCTTCTGTATGTAATACTACTTAGTCCAAGAGGTTCTGGGCTGCAAACATGGGTGTTACGGGCGTCATGCTGTTGCCCATCACCAACATTGTTTCCTGTGTATTCATAGAATCATAGAATTGTAGAATTGGAAGGGAACGCCGTTTACCTTCCCGCCGGAGTGGTACCTATTTATCTACTTGCACTTTGACGTGTTTTCAAACTGCAGTGCAGAAATCTTTTGCTCAACATGGGGCTTGAATACAAATTGCTCATATTCTATATCAATTATGTGCATTTATTTGTCAGACTTGCCATCAAGTGAAATTTAAGGTGCATTTGGAGGTGCATTCTAGGCAAAAGACCTGAGAAATGTTGAGAAAAATGTTGAGGGGCCATTCATACACTTTGAAGAGCAGCAATCCCTCTTTGCATGCTATCCAGAGAGAGAGAGAGAGAGAGAGAGAGAGAGAGAGAGAGAGTATACAACATTCCTTTGCATGCTTCTGTGGCAATGTAATGCAATTAAAGACAATGAGCGTGTCCAAAACTTTATTCAGTCCCACCCTGTTATCAGTTTCTAATTTAGTGCACAACAAGACTAGCGGCATTATCCCTTCAAGACAAGATGTTCTGATCATCCTTTATTTCAGGTCGACATAAAGGCTATGTAGAGGTCCTACTCGGAGCATTTGCAAGATAATCTGAGACCAAGAATGTCTCACACTAGATGAGAATTTATGGTGCTTTGCCTGTCAACAGAAGTGACAAATTCCTCTCTGGGCAAACAATATATTAAAGAGTCAGAGAGAGCTTGCAGGTTCATCCATCTCCATTCCAGCATTCCACACTTGCTATAATTGTAATTAATTTGTGCGACTTTGGGAATAAAATTTAAAAAATTGATTTTAGGCTGAAGAAGAATGGATTTCATTTGGAAGGCCATCACTTGGGTCATTTTTTTTTTAACTGACCTCAGTTCAAAAGGAGACAAGAGTATTTCAGGCCTGTTGACAGACTATCTGTTCATTCCCGTTAGGCTATTCAACATTCTGTGATTTGACTTCTCAAACACCTGAGTTTTCCCCAAGTAACAAGACGTTGAAAATAGACGTTCAATAAAGATTTGACTATTTTGCTTCTCTTTTCGCACTAATTATTTCAACTCATACGAGTGCCAGCACTTTAAAAAGTCTTGCAATGGTCGGAAGAAATTTAAAGAATATTTAGCTAAATATTGTAATATAAGATAAATAGAAAATTCTTGGAAGTGACAAATAGGCTTAGGGGTAGAATAAGAATATGTGGTAGTAAATATTAATGATTAGAATAATAATAAAAGAGAAAAGATTAGTTAATGAAAGTAGTTAATATTATTAGAAATATGAAATTGGAGAACTGTTATACAGGTGATATAATGAAATTCAGATAGAGAGGATTTGAGGAAGTCAGTTACCAATGTTAAGAGATTGAGGTATTGGAAGTAATAACTTTCTTTTGTGTTTAGGTTATTGTCTTTGTTGTGTGTTTTGTCATGTTTTTTTTTCTTTTTTCTGTGTGAAAAATCTGGAAAACCAATTAAAAAAAATTTTTTGGGGGGGCGGGAAGTCTTGCAATGGCATCCAGGTACCAATTCCTAGTTTCATCGGTTTCTTCCCAGTTCTTAGTGCCATTGGATGACAGGTCCAGTTATTTTTTTATGCTACCTTATTCTTTTATGTATTAATTCTGTTGGTTACAGCCTGGTGCTGATAATGCCAAGGTTGCAAGTTCATCCTCCGTACGGGACAGCTGCTTATTCCTACATTGCATGGGATTGGGCTAGATGATCTGCAGGGTCCCTCTACAATTCTTTGATTCTCACTCACGGTATATGTTAGACATGTTCAACTGGTCGACTGCAATTTTAAAAAGGTGATTGCCTGTGTGCTCCTGATTGATCCCGCTGTGCCCTTCACCATGGATAAAAGCAGTGTGGCAAGATATGTGCTCCTTGCACTGATATAGCTGTCATATAAGTGGAAGCCCAAGGTGATATTGGGTAGGATGTGAGGGTCTTTGTTGATCTCCTTGACTGCAAATGCCAAGGCCACGATGTGCTGGTAACCCTTAGTCACCATCCTAGAATGAGAGTTGCAAACTGTATCAGCAGGAACTTCAACTTCCTTTTACACAATAGTTAATCATACTAAGTTCAGGGGGGTTTACACTCTGCTCGTTCTACTGTTGAATAGCTCTTATCAGTAGAAAGTTCTTCTTGATGTTTAGTTGAAATTTGCTTTCTTGTAACTTGAATACCCTGATTTGGAGCAAAAAAAAAAAAGTGTGTTCCATCTTCCTGGTGACAGCCCTTGAGATATTTGAAAATGGCTATCATTCCTCCCCTCAGTCTCACCATAGCTAAACATATCAAACTCCCTCAACCATTCCTCATAAGGCTTGGTTTCCAGACCATCTTTGTTGCCCTCCTCTGTACATATTTCAGCTTGCTAATACGTATCCTTCTTAAATTGTGGTGGTCAGAACTGGATACAGGACTCCAGGTGACCAAGGCAGAATAGAGCAATACTATTACTTCCTTTGATCAGGACACTATACTTCTGTTGATGCAGATCCCTTGAACCTTTCTACATTTACTACTGGCAAGCCAAGTGTTCCTCATCTTAGAATTGTGCATGTCCCATTGCTGCCGCCACCGCTGTGAAATTGCACAAAACAAATGAAATACTGTGAAAATCCCTGAAGTAATCGACTAGAAATATTATCTTGCGGAAATAAACTAAATTTATTTATTGCATTAGCCGAGTGGCCATAGCATGACATACATTGAAATAACAACATAAAATGGGGGTGGGGAGGTAGAGGTAGACATCGTCCTGGGCGAATACTTAAAGAAAGTGGAAAAAAAAAAAAAAACAAAAGCTGCTGAGGCTGGAGGAGGACCGTTAAAGGGTCCTTCAGCTCCTCAGATTAGTCCTAACTCGATTGTCCTTGTACAATAAGGCTACTTGGAACTTCGTTCGGTTGTGCGGCGTATCGACTGCATCTGTGGTGTTAAGGAAGAAGTTAGTGCCGCTTTCCTCTTCATCACACTAAGCAGGAAATTAGCTGTCATCTCAGTAATCCAACAATCAGAATCCTGCAAAAAGAGGGACACTATCCAAGGCTGGATTGGGAGATGGAACTTATTCACGAGGGGAGTTAAAAACCGAGATCTTTCATCTGTCCAGTTGGGACAGAAGAGCATTACATGTTCCATAGTCTCCAGGGCCGTGTCATTACAGGAGCATGTTCTGTTTGCGATGGGAACTCTGGAATAGCGACCCGACAGAACTGCTGTAGGAAAACAGTTGAGACGGGCACAGGTAAAAGCCCTTCGCTTAGTCTCCGAAGAAATTGTGAAGCAGTATAGAGGGATCCCTTCAGGGGTGGAATAGCTAGGGCTAGGCCTGAACACGGTCCTCTTGCACAAGAAGCTGTGTTGGAGAAGTCGAGTTGCTGTAGTTTCTTTTTAATTAGGGGTAGGGCCACCGGGCTGATACACTCTAAGTTAAGAACAGTTTTACAATTCAGATTGAGAAGAGAGCGGAATTTGAGGTTAATTGTAGTTTTCCAAGGGGAATTATGAATATCTCTTAGGATCAGATTGGAAAAGCCACCTCTAATTCGAGCATCCGATGCTAATAGGTGGAGGGTGTAGGAAATGGCTCGGCTCCATGCTCGTCTAGCAATTGAAGGCTGGGCGAACTCGAGTCGTAGGGCTGCACCTGAGACACATCTCGGGACGCCGGAAAGAGATCTCAGAAACATATGAAGTGGACGATCCAGGTTACCTGATATTGCTGTAGTCCATACTTCACATCCATATAATAATTTAGGGACGACTTTGGCATTAAATATTTGAATTGCTGCTGGAAGGTGTTTGCCGCCCTTCTGGTGGTAAAATCGGACAATGGCGTTAGAGGTCGTGGTTGCAGCGAGAAAGGCAGATTGTAGATGGGTGGTCCAGGAGAGATTATAGGTGAATATTAATCCTAAATATTTAAAGGCTTTTACCTTTTCTAAGTAGCCACCTGTGATCTTAAGCGGCTCCAACTTGAGTTTGCGGGAACGAGTGAAGTGGAGGACTTTCGATTTTTATAATTAATATTAAGAGCTTCCGCCTTACAATAGGCGATAAATGCATTAACTGCATTTGCTAGATCCGCAGCTGTTCTGGATAAGATGACGGCATCATCAGCATAGAAAAGGGAAGCAACGGGGTGGCCTGCTAAGTGAGGAGGATACTTAGATGCTAGCTTCAAAGTGGAAATTGCATCATGAAGATAGAGATTAAACAGTAAAGGGGCCAAGAGGCAACCTTGTCGGACGCCCTTGGCCGTTGGAAATGGAGTAGTGGGGAGCCGTTTGGACTAGTTCGGACGCGAGCTGTGGTGTTTGAATAAAGGGAGATAATTAGGGAGAGAAGGTGCGGATCAATTCCCAGATGGGCAAGTTTGGACCATAATCTCTGCCTAGGAATGGAATCAAAGGCGGCCTCCAGGTCCATGAAAGCGGCAAATAGGTGGCCTTGCCTTGGAGCAGTGTATTTACTGGCAAGGTGAAAGAGAGTTAGACAATGGTCCATGGTTGACGCTGACTTTCGGAAACCAATCTGTTCTAGCGGTAGAATGTTCCTCTCCTGGACCCATGAGAGAAGTTCCTCCAGTAAAACAGCGGCAAATATTTTCCCGGGATGGATAATAAGCTGATGGGGCGATAGTTCCTAGGGATGTTTGGCTGGCCGCCTTTGAAGATCGGAACTATTATAGCTTCTCTCCAGGAGTCGGGGATGTCTAGGGCGGAGGAGATAGCGGTGAATACAGGAGTCAGGTGTTCGCTCCACCAAAGAGGATCAGTCAGGAAAAGGTCCAACGGGACCATGTCTGGGCCGGGGGCCTTATTCCTTTGCATTGACATTATGATGTTGAAAATGCGAGTTGAAGTAAAGTTTATTGAAGAAGTGGGACTAAGAGAGCAGGAACTGAGGTCCAATGGGGATTGAAGGAGATCTGTAAGATGGTTTGGAGAAGCGAAACTAGTTGAATAATAAGCAATCCATTCATCCGCGGAAATCTGGGTAGCTGGATTGAATGGTGCCGAAGGTCTAACTAGGCGCCAGAAGGAGCGGGAGTCATGCCTCTCTACAGCCGAACGAAGAGTGGACCAAGCCTCAAAGATGTACTGCTGCTTCTTGCAATGAATCATGTTTCTATATGTCCTTTTAATATCTATGAGCTTTGCACGGGTTTGGGGGTCGTTGGAAGATTTGATGATTCTGACCATTTTCCTAATTCGCCTTCTTAGGGCTTTACATTCCTTGTCAAACCAGGGCGATTCAGAGAAAAGGCGTTGGTAAGTAGGCGAGGTGGTGGTTATGTAAGTTGTTGAGAAAGCATCAAGTAATTTCCGGTATTGGTCAGCGGGCAGGATTGGATCAGAGGGAACTGCAGACATATCAAATGATTTTTGTATGTCCAGGGCAAGAGAGGAGCTGAGGCTTGTCCATTTCTTTGTTTTGTATACAGGGTGGCTTTGTACCATGGTTCTATAGTTTGAGGAGACTGGGAGTGGCTCTATTAGGTTTAACATTAGAGTCAATGGAAGGTGGTCACCACCAAAATATTCAGCCACTTCCATTTTTGTAGAAATTGAGAATAGCTCCGGCGTCAATAAAATGTAGTCGACAACACTGGTTCCCCGGGAAGTGATGCACGTTAATTGCTGCGAGGACAAGGGAGTAATGTTACCATTTGCGATGCAGAGATCGTTTTCCATGGCCAGTTGGGCCATCAGCCTCCCGACGCATTTGTTATAGGATCAAGAGAGCATCTGTTTCCCCAGGGGGGCTGCAGGGGATTGTCCAGGAGTGCTGCGGGAGATATTATATCATCGTCGTTGGGACCTATTCTTGCATTGAAGTCGCCTAAGAGGATTTGAGGGAGTCCTGGGTTAGTTGTTTGGAGATCATGAAGCCAAGACGAAAGTTCAGACCACCTTTCATTGCGGTCGAAATCATTAATTGCTGGGGGCAGATATACTGTAGTTATCAACCATGGGCTTTTGGTCTTTGGGAGATGAATCTTTATGGTGAGAAAGTAAGGGGAAGATTTAATTTCCTCGCAAATAGTGAGGGGTAAGCTGGTTGAAATAAGACAGGCGAGGCCAACTTGGGGGCGACCCCTGTTGGTTAGTTTACGAGCACAGGAGCTAAAGGAGCAATAATTTGGGAGAACAATACTTTGTTGGGACCAGGTCTCTTGGAGGCATACAATGTCGAAAGAAGAGATGAAATTCATTGCTTCAGGATCCATTTGCTTTGTCGCCCAGCCGTTAACATTCCAGGAGACAATTTTAAGGCTTTGGGGTAGGTTGGGTGCGTCTTTCAAGGAAACAACTGCTTTTGCTTGATTTGTGAGTGAGGGTTGAGTCTGTTCGTATCTAATGATATCGGATTTCCGCGGAGATAGGGAGCCGGCTGGTGTTTGTCTCTGGTCTAATCTTTGTCAATTATTTCCCAAGGTGCTTTTAGGGATTACTTTTTATGAGCCGGCCCATTGCTCTCCATACATGGCAAACTAGCCAAATGTTCTATAGTTTCGGCTGTTAACTGTTGAATACTGACATTAGTGGTCACCGGGCCTTTGAAGTGTGTTATCTCTTTCCGTAGGTGTTTTTCCGGAACCTGATTGTGGCCTAATTCCGCCTCATCTAAATACCTCAGCTTGTCCCAAGAGCCTGGTGAATTCACCTTCGGGATGGTTCTCTTTATTGGAGGTGGTGTAGTGTTCTCTTCAGTGTGCTGGGCTTCCTTAATTGGGAGTAAATTAATCTCAGCCATTGTCTGAAGGTAACATGGCCGACAGGCCGCTGGGTTTGGTTCTTGTGTAGGGTTCAAATTATAGGAAGTCTGGTCCTTTATAAGGGCGTCCATATTGATTTCCTTGTTTGTATCTCTCCCAGCCAGCTTAATTCTTAGCATATCCAATCTTTCTAATATTTCAGCTTGTATTGGAGATGGAAAATAGCGAAATTGCCTAATTAAGGTATTTTCTTCCGCGGAAAAAAGATCCTCATCTTCATTCTCTTGAAGTTGCAGGTCTTGCAGGTGGGCATCTTTCCTTTTTAATTTTTGAAGCTCTCGTTTCTGGAGACCAGGCCGAGTTTTGGGAGGTTGTTTCTCCTTACTAGGGTTTGCGTGCTTGGCTTCCAGAAGGGAATTCGGTGGTGCCTTGTTTTCAAAAAATCTGAGAATTTTTATCTGGGCCTTTAAGAATATATATCTTGATCTGTAGATAAACTTGGCCAGGTTCTGGTCTCTAAATGTGATCATTGCTCTCATTGAACAACCATCATGATGCAAATAATCTACAGAAATAATGTCATATGGCTTTACTGCTCCTGGCAATATATCATTCAGAACGTTCAAGGAGCTCATTCTTCGTTCTTTCCCTGTAAGGAAGGCCTTTGATTTTGGGAAGTTTGTAAATACTAATATTGAGGGATTTAAAATCAGGTTCCAACATCTTGCCTGAATAAAGGTTTGCCCATCTTGTATAGTGTTGTCATCGCGATTGGGCATTGCATCGTCCCCATTTCCCGATTTGCTAAGCGGTTTGCTGCCTTCATTGTTAGGGACCACTTCTCCCCCAGACTCTGGTTCGCTGAGTGAACTGTTACCAGAACTCTGGGACGTTGCTTCCGTCCTCCCACTTAGTTCTGAATTCTGGTTCAGAGATGCCACCTTAGCCATTAGCTTTGGCGATGGCTTCTTTTTTCCCCTTCCTGCCATTCTCTATTTTATCTCGTGCAGCAGATTTATTTGAGTCCAATGGGAGTAGATTAAATAATTTCTGCCATTGTTTATGTCGGCTTATCTTTATTTTCCTTGTTGTTTTAATGTTCTTAGTTTTCTTTTCCCGGACTTTTGATCTATTTTTTTGCAATTTCTTGGTTGTTACTGCTTGTCTCATCTTCACTAGTTCATCTGGGTTATGCACAAGTTCATCTGGTTTATGCACTTGGGGTGCATCGGTTGCTGTTGTCTCTTTTGGTTGGGGAATAAAATTTTCCACAAGGGTCAGCAATAACCCATTTGTTATTGTCAAGTAATTTTTATGTTGGAAAGGTCTATATTTATATCTTGGAAATGGGCCTGAAGATGGCCATCACTCAGTTCAGTTTGAGTATATTTGGAAGTGGGCGCCTGGTCTTGGTGGCATGTTGTTAATTCTGCCAGGGGCCGCTGGTTATAGGTGACAGAAATATTTTCCACAGGTTTCTCAGCTAGAACTAGCTCTTGCGCCAGGCTTCTTGGGGAATTTGTGTTTCCAGAGTTGTGTTGAAGCTCTTTGAAGTAATGTGACCGGTCAAGGTAAGTAAGGGAAGAGGAGTGACTTCGTCAATAATTGGTTCAATTTGTTCACTCATGCATTCCTCCCTCTTGGGGAAGTAATTTATAATTTTACTTTGTCTCTTTCCAGGTCCCGGGGGGCTAAGTGGCGTATCTGGCAAGATACCCAACTCCTTACACAACTTTCTAGTGAGGACCATGTTGGATAGTTGTCTTCCTATTAGAAAACCAGTTGTCCCCCAGTGTTTCTGCCTAATTAGCAGGGCCAATGGATGAGTAGGGATGAATCTGCAGCTTTCTCCTGCTTAGCTCATCAGCGAGCGCTGGCTCTCAGTATGTTTCCCTGGTGGAGCCCTCTCCTTTCCAGTGACGGGGAATCCCTTCACGGCAGGGGAGTCAACCAGACCTCTTCCCTTCCCCACTCACTCGTCTCAGAAGATTACTCAGCTCCTCAGCACCAAATGCACAGCGGGGGGTGCGGCAAGGCAGCAAGGCTGAAGCACGAAGCAGGTAATAAAACAATAAAGCAATAAAAGCCCAGAGGGGTTAAAAGAGACTACTTAGAACTACTTGAAACTTAGTCTAAAAACAATAAAACAATAAAAACCCAGAGGGGGGTTAAAATAACTACTTAAAACTACTTAAAACTTAATCTAAAGGCAGACGCCTTTACTAAGCCGCTACCTTCGTCGCCATTTTGGATC